ATGACATAGGTTTTTTTTTGACGTTTTATAGGCTTTTTGCATGATACGCATACGGTTCTCCTGACTTAAATCCACCCTATTTTTTACTAGAGAGCGGTTAAAGTAAAAGCTTGCTTAATCCCCATCGAAAATTTAGCTGAGCTACGGGACAGAATAACGAAAGCAGATGAATTTGTTGATAACGGAAGATTCGCCCGAAGGAAGGAAGTTTGAATTTGATAAATAAAGTGTGTTCCATAATTAACGCAGATTTTGATTTAAATAGAAAACACAGTTTTAAGTATTTAGACTTTTATTTTTCATTGAACCATAAAGTACTTAGGATATTGTTATAAGTATGGAATATCACATGGGCAAATGCACCGTAAATAATCCCATAAGAAGAAATCTAATGGTGTAACAGTTACTGCTTCATTATCCTCATTTTCAAAAAAGTATGGTCGAATGATGCCTCCAGCCCAAAATACGCTCCAAACCGTGACTCGTTGTGGGTGCATTAGTTTTTTGACAATCACACGTGGGTTCTCCGAATACCAAATACGGAAATTTTGGCGATTAACAAAGCTCGGAAAATCAGCATACATTTGTTGATGTTCAATAGTCCATTCCACGAACTCTCTTCTACGACGCTGAATTGACGTTCCTGGGTTTTCACCAACACTCTCACGCACTGTTTCGACGTGGACATTTAAACGATTTGTTTTTTCACGATCTAGGGTATTCCTTAATGATATGTGAATACTAAAGGCTGTGAATCTACATGAAAAATTAATTTTAGTTTGCTTTATAAACTATGATAGAAAAATGTATCCTTACAAAAATTCGGGGTGTTGAAGTTTTATGAAAAAAATTGGAATTAATTAATATTTTCAGAACCTATTCAGATATTTCACTGATATTTAGTACGTAGTGAAAGTTAATAAAGCTGCATATTTTTCAATGCAAAAATAACTTTAGCTTTAACAATGGCGTGCGTACGGTTATTGGCTTCGATATTTTTTAACAAAAAAATGCTACGCCAATCGTTTTTTTCCAAATAAAAATTATTTTTGAATTTCAGTTTAAAACAAATGATCTCTCTTGAGTTGCTTGCCTTCGTTGCGCCATTTTTGAGTAAAAAAATAAAAACCGTTCTATTGTTTAGCTTGCAAAATTATTATTAATTTAATTGGAAAAATTAAACACATTAGGGGTAATGAACGACAACAACTGACAGCATAAACATAACATTAAAACCAACGAAATGATTACAAAAATTGTTGAAAATGGTCCCCTTCACTAGGTATGATGCTTCCGCCCTCATTCTCATAAAATTGCGCACGCGTTGAAATATCCCTTGAGTGATTTTTATTCTATCACAAGTTGCAACTATTCTTTCTCTTAATTCCTCTACGGTGTTAATGGGATTTGTGTATACTAGTGTCTTAAGATAGCCCCACAAAAAGAAATCAAAACTGTTGAGGTCAGGGGACTTTGGTGGCCATTTCTTTTCTCTGAAATGTGCTGGTGTACCAACATGCATGTACCACATATTGTTTCTTATTACTAACGGATCGTCATCAAGCAGCAAAGAAAATTGAGGTAAGTATGTCCGTCAAGTCGTCCCGGCAAGAAGAATGGGCCAATAAAGTGGTTGCCAATAACTCCTGCCCATACGTTAACCGAAAATTGGCGTTGGAAATGAGTTTCGGTTACGGCATAGGGATTTTTGTCTGCCCACAAATGATTATTGTGGAAATTCTGAATGGCATTTCGAGAAAAATTAGCTTCTTCCGTGAACAGAATCATTGATTCAAATTGCGGATTTTGTGTAATTTTTTGAAGATGCCACTGACAAAAAGGTCACACGCCTTGAAAAATCAATGGGAAGTAATGTTTGTACTGTTAAAATATGGTAAGGATATAACAAAAAATCCACTAAAATTCTCCAAACAATTTGATGGCAAATATTTAAGTGTCTAGCGATCTTCCATGTACTCGTTTCAGGATGTTCTTCGACTTCGTACAACACTGCTCCCTCAATTTCAGGTGTTCTCACACTTAGAGGTCTACCTTCAGACATTCCTTTGCGGACAGAACCAGTTTCAACAAGACGACGATGAATATTAGAAAAGGTTCGACTATCTGGCAAAGCACTATCGGGATATCTCGGGTGATGAATCCGTCTAGCTTGCTCACCATTACCGTCGGCAAGGCCATATACGTAATGCATTTCCGCCATTTCTGCATTTGAATAATTCACCATTATTAACAAGATTGTAAAAACTAAATAATGAAAAAGATGTCACAGCTAACATATAATAATAACAGAGACTTGTCAGATGTCAAAAGCCAGTGACATATTCCAGAGCAACTAGATATTTATTGCTAAATTACATTCTTCAATTATTACATTCATTTTCTCGGACAATAGAACGGTTTTTATTTTTTACACAAAAATCGCGCATCGAAAGAAAGCAACTCAGGATAGATCATTTGTTTTAAACTGAACGGAGAATTCAAAAATGATTTTATTTGGCAAAAAACCATTGGCGTGCCATTTATTCTTAAAAAATATCAAAGTCACTACTAGTACTCACGCCACCGTTAAAGCTAAAAATTATTTTTGCATTGAAAAATATGCAGCTTTATTAACTTTCACTGCATACTAAATATCAGTGAAATATATTAAGTGATTCAGAAAATATTAAATAATTTCCATTTTTTTCCTAAAACCTCAACACCCAGAGTTTATGTAAGGAAACATTTTTGGTCCATAGTTTATGAATCAAACTAACTTTAATTTTTCATGTAGATTCACACCTTTAAATATTCGCATATCATTAAGGACCACCTTGTATATGCTTAGCGTCTTCAACTGATCCAGTCTCTCTGAATTTTTCAATTAATCCTTTCACAGTTGACTGCCATATTTTGTATAAAATTTTCGAACTGCGGACGCTAAACTGTCATTATTTTTGAACTACTGTTCAATAATGAAAACACGTTGTTGTATCGTATAACGCTCCAGTTTAACTAACCCTAACCTCTCAGCTGTCAAATTGCTTTTTTTTTCAGGGCTGCCTTAAATTTACTGCAAACATGGCGGCAAATTCAAATCTTGCGCTGATTATGGGACAGTCTTTACATTCACGAATTAATAAAAGTGGCGCTGCTATCTGCCTTGCTGTCAGTCGTTAGAATGCCAGTCACTCCATCTAAAAAAAAATTAAATTTGCAGTAATGGGAACTAAAAGATCACAGGCTGTAGATTTTTACGATTGTTTTAAACATATCATTAGAAAAGTAGATGACTTATTATTATTCTTATATTTTTCTGATAACAATTTTGACTTGGCTTATCACCCGCTTCCGTCTTGACGTCGACTTCTACGACACCCAGTATATTATAGCCATCGGCGTTGCGAAAGGGCATCAACGTTAACATTGAGCTTTTATATAGACAGTTGTCAATTGATTTTGACTTATTGCATTTCTCTTCTTGTTTCACTGAGCACTCAAACGCAATCTAAGGTTTGTTAACAGAACTGTATATGCAAGGTGTTAATTAAGAATGTACCATAAACTTAACAGAGGATTCTTTGAGTAATTCTGGCATTTCATCCCTCTCAGCGTGCTCCTTTGTAATTCTCTGTACCACCTGAATATAGTCTACGATGAGGACCATCATTTTTCAATGCAAGCGTCATTTTTTCTAAGCACTGATATATGAACTAAAACAACAGACGTGCTGCTGGCAGCTACTATGCACTTATGGACATGTTTCAACATGCCGGCTCCTGCGTCCGTTTGTTAAGTCATATTGCAAAACTTTTATATATTACCTCCTTTATTCAGAAAAATGTCCCACTACTTCCAATACCAGGTATTCCGCCACTGTTTTTGTTTGGATGGAGAGAAGTTTTGTATTGCTCACCTTTCACCTTTCAAAATCACGATTTAAGCTGAATTTCTCATGTGCTGTACTGGTAATAAATACTTACTTCGTTTTTGCCTTATTTAATGTGGGTATCCCTGTTTATACTGCGTGACAAAAATAAGCTTTCAGTTTGATTCGTCATCTGACTGCAGAAGCTCGTTGAATAATGTGTTGAAAATACACGAATTCTTATACACTCATTGACACGCGTGGGCTGATAAGGTGGTCGATATTCTGTTAGGGTATCTCATTCCAGGCTACTGCAACTTCGTGAGTAAGAGCTGCGAAAGTCTGTGCACGGTGTTGCAAATTCAGGAGCTTGCGACCTATCATGTTCCACACTTGTTCAATTGGAGATAGGTCATGCTATAGTGGTGGCCAAGGTAAGCGGTTGATGCGATGTTAATCCATGAAGGCTGACCATGCTCTGACAATATGCTGTCTGGCATTGTCTTGTTGAAAAATTGGGTTTTGTATGGTGTTTAGGTCCATGCCTTATTCCATAATAAGATAAGGCTCCACTCCTTCCTGAATATAATGTCGGGCTGTCATATTACCTCTGATGAAAATTAGTGGTGATCTGTTACTTTAAGCAATAGCGCCCCATACCATAACTCCCACGGTGTGGTGAACGAGACACTCTCTGTCAAAACTGAATGCTTCTTTATCACCAAAAAATACACGCAGCCACCACAAAAACTTAACAGCAAAACCTGACGATTTTATCACTTGTTGTTCATGTTGTTTGCCTTGCTCTACGTGATTACCTCCAGTACGAGTAGCTACTTGAATATAACGTTGAGTAGAGTAGATTTTTTCTAGACTCCGCCTTTTAAGGAGCGTTATATAAATATCTAATGTATCCCTTAACCCATCATATCCTTGCTAGAGAAAAAATGTACGCCGATGTACTGGTTTGTCGCCTTGGTAGGCAATGGTAGTCAAACAATTTTGGCGTCAAACAATGCAGCGTAATTCGGATGCCTTGGATCCAACATATTGAATCATAGGGATGTTAAGGAGCTTGGGCCCAAAACCATCCGTAAGACGAGAAAGAAAACATTGAACAATAAAGAAACAATTGTAAGTAACTGCTATTTATTATTACATGTAGTTCTAAATAAGGTACAAAAATAAAATACTATGTATTACTTTACAATTTACAATTATACAACCTCTGCGCATGAGTATATACACTTTCAGATCGAAATAACGAACCCTGGCCCAAAATACATGGCATACATATTTCACTTAATTTCTCTTAATGGTAACTTACGATAAACTTCACAAATGATACGCCTTGATGATATATTATAGTATATCTGTCTGATCAGACAGTTCTGTCGTCAATGACATGTGCATTTTTTCTTATCTTAAAAAATTCGTTAAACGACTAAAAATACAAGTATGTCGTATTTTAGGATAGACATTTTTAACAGTATTTGCAACGAATTGATAAGGAATATCAGCATAATTTAGCATAACACATCATAACGCCAATATATTTTTTATCCTTTATTTGAAAGTTTTCCCTAAGCAGATATGGGTACTTTTCTATTACAAAATTTGTAAAAATTGTGGCGAATAAAAAATCAAGGGATATCCAAATATGTGTGAGTGACTGTTGTATTTAATCATTATGGGAAACAACTATTCAATACAGATACAAATTTTCTAAACATATAATTTAACCATAACGGATAATTTTAGACAAACATATGAGATAAAATGTACAGTTAATTTCTGGGATCTAGCACAATTTGTTTGTTAAATATCAGCTACGATGCATCACAAGGCCTAAAATACACGTTTTAGGATCTTGATAAAAGCCATACTATCTTTAACTATATCAACTTATATTTCTTCAAATACATTTCTTTAAATGTTGTTTCTTTTTATGAGATTTTGTGTCATGCCAACGCTTGCTATTTCAACTGTTACTACTAGTAGGAAATACATATCTGCTTAAGAAACATACAATGTCATTTGCATAAACTTGAGCTACAAATACAGATTTCTGATGATATTATGTCGACCTTTTGATATTATGTCAAGAAATTTTATGTTACGTAAATAATATACTCGTATATCTTACTTAATCGAGGTAGAAGGTAACTTACGAGTTGTAAATTCACAATCCCTATTTATGATAAAACATTCGGAGTACTATTAGATGAAGAGTGATATTAGCTACTATAGTTTCTTGAATAATCTAATGAGAAGCAACAATAATGAGATGCAAGATAAGGTGTAAAACTAAAGCATTACTTGTTTTTTACATCTTTTGGCTTTTACCCAAATCTCTTTGCATTTTGCAAAAACGAAAAACCGTCACTTACTATTGTACCATTTACTGTAAAAATAGAATGAATACCAACTAGAGAAGAAGAAATTAATGGCCAAAATCTTTCGAACAAGACGAAAATTCTCTAGCATTAACCAACTGGCCAGTTCTATCCAAATGTTCTATCACTAATTTCTGTACAATCAGTTATAGATTCACTTGTAAATTAGATCATTGTTAATATCGTCCAAGGTATGAAAATGCGTAGGTACTCTGATGATCCTGAGGTTGATTTCGTTGGATGACGCTGTCCTCAAGAAGAACCTCTGGAACCTGGTACTTAGGCACCATACGCTTCCATCGGGTTGCCATCGCATATCTGTCAGGAATTGGAGTCTTTCTGAGTCGTACGCTAACAAACTGGAAAAAAAATAATAATATTATGCCATTTTGGTAAAAAGAAGTATGGTGCAAGTATGAAGAACATGATCACATGAAGACGTCAAAGTAATTGGAGAAGTAGACGATATAGCAATGGAAGTGTAATCCGTAATCGGTGGAATGTAAAACAAAAAAGTTGCAGAAATAAATACAGAATTATTAAAATACACGGGTACTACACTTAGATCTTTTCATATATGCGGGCAGACATGCGACATACCGGATTCATGAAAAACGACCAAACTTATCATCTCCTTATTCACAAAAAGTGACAGGTAACGAAAACACACTTACAAGAACAGTAAAACGACTTTCACAAAAGACACACTTGCAGTGAAAATATCTTTATAGCGAAGCGACTCTTAGAAAAAGTTAGAGAATCTCAAACTCCTCAGAGCCTTCATCAATTTCGAGAAAGCTTTTGACTACGGAAAATAATGGCTGACAGTGGTTTTCCCAGACATTTCATTTAGGCGATAAAAAGCTTTTACTCGTATTATCAACAAGAATAGTAGTGAATATATGGGAAAGAGTGATAGATGATATAAGAATTAACCAGGGAGTAAGACAAGAACGCAGCCTCTCGTCTACTCTATTCAAAGAAATATTGACGATGTCCTAAAAAACTGCAGACCCACTGAATACAAAGATACACAACTAAATGGACGTACTTAATGCCCTACTATTCGCAGACAAGAAAAATAATAGTATAAGAAGACCCAGAACTCCAGTTAACAGTACATAAGTTGAATCTACTGCTTAAAAATATATTCACAAATTATCTTTAAAAAAAAGAAAAGTAATGGCCTTCAAGAGTAAATATGCCATACATTCAGAAGCAGAAACTGATGATAAAACACATTTTAACTATGTAGGCTATAAGTGTAACAATATCATAGATAAAAAGGTACAAAAGCTTCAGGCAGATTGTGGAATAATAAATAGACCACTAAATTACTAAATTTGCTAAAAATAATTACTTTGTTTGTTTTTTTCCCTAGGGTGCACTGTTTTTGTAAAAATGAAAATAAAACAAATTAAATTGTTCATCAAGAGCCAAGATGCAATTAGTTTCAAAATAAAATAGGAGGCCTTGATGCCAACTTGACGTTTCTTGGGAGATTGTTATCGCTACTACTACCATTTTTATACACAGATTCTAGATCATCTCAATGCACATAATATAATCCCCACCCATCAATCAGGCTGTCAGAAAAACCGCAGTCCAACTACAGCCTTGTCTTATCTCACTGATAGCATCATATCTTCCATCGACAGTACAAACATGATCTTGCTGGTACTGGTAGACTTTTTCAAGGCCTTCGATACGCTAAACCATCGACTACTTATTGCCAAGTGCCACTATTATGACTTCGATGAAGTTGCCTGCAACTTTATTAGGTAACATTTAAGGGAAACGGGGCAAAAAGTAAATATTAATAATCAAATTTCGACATCAAAATAAATTCAGTCAGGTGTTCCACAAGGCTCAGTACTGGGACCATTGATGTTCTTACTTTACAGATTTACATGATAACTTCAAGAATACACATGCTCAATTTTTTGCTGATGATACGCGGATGAAGTGTGACTATTGAGTAAGTTATCTTATCATGGAATGTCTGATATAGTTCTAAGGTTCTTTGAGTCATACTTGCTAACTCATCAACAAACAGTGAAAACTGATCAGGGAATCTCCTCCACTGAGCCAGTTCCTTCAGGAGTGTCACAGGGTTCAGTATTAGGTCCCTTACTATATCTGATTTATACGATGGATCTGCAAGACTGTTTGGTCCACTGTTGTATGCAAACTTATGCAGATGATACTCAGTTAGTGTTTGGTTTCGATCCATCAAAGGCTGATTAAGTTTCTTTTAAAGTTAATTTAGATTTGGCTAACATCAGTGATTACTGTAACAAACACTGCTTGAAGATCAATCCTAATAAAACTACTGCAATGTTGTACTGTTCGAAGAACTCCTACCGTGAAATGAAGCAGAGGATTTGTGTTGTTTTGGATGAGACACTCATTCCCTTTTGTGGATTACGCCAAGAATCTTAGTGTTACCCTTGATTTAAATATGAGATTCGATCGGCATGTCTCTTTCTTATGACAACAATGCACTCTGGGAGAAAGCACAAGAGTAATTATCTGTAGCAAATTAATAGTAAAATTGCACGTTTCGAAAAAAAGCACTGGCGTACTATTTTTATTTGGAACAATAATGCCACTAATCCCCTGTGTCTTCGCTACTGGTTCACGTTAATGTTAAGTAAAGACTTTTTGAATGTGGACAATAATTAGCATACCAAATTTAGTTCATTTCAGTTGACGGCTTTGAAGATATTAAAAAAATTGTCTTTTATTTTTAAACTTCAACACCCCATACCTATTTACACCCTAAGTAATAAAATAAAAAATACAGAGAAAAGTGGAGGTAACAGATGTCAGATGAAAGCCTGCCCAAGGAAATATTTCGCTATAACCCAAAAGGCAAAAGATATTGAGGCAGGCGAAGAAAAATATGGTATTATCAACTTTATGAAATCGGAACAGGCAAGAAGAGAAGAAGAAGATGTTTTGATGGAGAGAGCAATTTGCAATGCTGATATCGAAAATGGCCATAAGGAAATTCTAAAGTGACGGGAAGCGCTGTTTCGATTATAAAAATCCAAATTACGCAAAAAATGTGTCCTTTCTGTATTAAAGGTATGTAAGAATTTTCGAAAATTATCTTTAATAGCTTGCCGTGGTTACAGATACACGAAACCAGGTATATATAAATGAGTATTAGAATTCTGATTCCAAATATAGTGATAAAATCATACAGATTATTCACTGACTTAGAACCGGAGGTACACGAAAGTTAAGGGCAAGAAGGTCCAAGTATTTGTAAAGCATATAATATATGATTTTCCATAAAAATTAAACTTGTTGAAGGGTCCCGAAGGGCTATGAAGGGACTATTTTGTAATTCGAAGAGATAATCGGCGAACGAAGAATGACGTTCGTGTACAAAGATGTGCTATACTTACTGCTGCCGATTGCTCAACGGATTCCACGAAGCAACTGACGTTTCTTGCAACGGGCTGAAATATAGAGTGTTGTCGAACGGAGAACAGGTAAGTGCGATTCCCTGAGATGATTTTCTTCCTACTAGTGAAATTGGCAAGCTCTCGAACTCTGCTGGTGGCCCCTTGGTGAGGCTGGATGTAGGAATGCTGTATATCCTAGAATAGGAATGAAATCTACTGAATTTTAAGTACAAGATGTGCAGGAATAAATTTCCCTTTCCAAGCTCAAATAACTTGGCAACAGTGTAACTTACGGCGGTCGGCGAAGCCTCGTTCAATAGTGGATCGATGCGGATTATTTAGTAAAAATGGAGAGTGGTAGTCATCGTGCGTTCATTATTGAGGCATATTTCAAGAACTATGAATCGTACGTATTTGCAAGATGAAGGGTTTGTGCTCACCTCTATATTAGGCGTGTGGAGCACGTAAAAATTTAGAGAAATCGCGGGTGAAGAGGCTTAGAGAAACATCGCCCTGGTCGCCCAAGGATTGTTACTACTCAGAATGTTGAAGCTGTAAAACATCACAGGTGGTGGGATTGCTTAAATTCTTTTCATACAATTTTAAGGAGAGATTTGAAGTTTCATCACTATTAGATCCAAATAGTGCAAAAACTAAACCCAAGTGACTTTTTTGCAAACGACCAAATTAACAACATTCTGCGCAGTGACGAGGTGCACTTTCACCTTTCAGGCGCAGTTATTAAGCCAAATTGTCCCTATTGCAAAAACACGAAAGGCCCAAAAGTAACTGTGTGGTGTGCAACGTCGGCTTCAGGAATTATCGGTCGGTTATTTTTTAAGAACCAACGTGGCATAGCCCAGACTGTAACCAGTGATCGTTATTGTGCAATGCTTCGGGGGTCTTTGGTACCTCAGCTAAAATAATTTGATGGCTTTGATCAAGAAACATGGTTTCAACAAGACGGCGCTACCACACATACAGCCCGAGCATCTATGGAAGTCCAAGAATTATTCCCGAAAGGTCGTCTCTCGCTTTGGAGACCTAAACTGGCCAGTTAGGTGTCCAGATCTCACCCCATGGGACTTTTTTTGTGGGGATACCTTATGTTATTCGGCCTAGTGCTTTGCAGGAAAAAAAAGTTGGGAAGAAATTAGGGCAATGACACCTGAATTATGTTTAGCAGTTTTTAGCCCCTTGAAGATGGCATTTGCATGAGTGTTTCGACCGAAATAAAGGACACTTCGAAAAAGTAGTTTTAAAACTTCAAGACAATTTTTATGAGCTTTTAAAAAGGGAAATTGATCCTGGATACTCAGTACAATAACTTCGACAAAAGGTGTTTGCATGATATGATGCAGAAATAGACAATAGCACGTTGCCTATGCATCATATACAGTGTGAGTCTTCATAAAGTGCACATATCAAAATCAGGGAAACTACACTCTATTTCATCGACGGATAAATCATCAAAAAAACATGAATTTGATTTTTTATGAATATATGAATATTTTAAAATTTTTAGTAGCAGCTTCTAATCATATTGAAATAACTCGTTACAACTTTTAAACTAAATGTCCTATCATATTGGAATACATTTTGTAGTGATTGCTGGTAAAAGGACGTGCCTGAAAAGTGAAGAATTCCAGGAAAAGTAATGAAATCCATTTAGAATAAAGAAAATTTTGATGAAAATCTGTTTTTTTTTTCATCATTTTTACAATAATTTCAAATTTTCTATAAATATCGTCCATTGTACCCTACCTTTTTTTATTTGTAAGTTATTCTACATGTTATCAGCTTTATAAAAGTAAAAATTGCACGTTTATTACTCAAATGTAACAGTTTCTATGAGTGTTTATAAAAAAGCCCATGCGCATCGTCTTGCTAGGCACCATTGTTTATCATGTAGATACCTTTTTTTTGGTGATTCAATGTAGAGTCGCGCGGGCTGAAGTACGAGTGGGGAGGCGGAAGAATGATGCTTCAAATGGATGGATGTCCTGCCCATTACTCGCTGATTGTCAGGTCTTTTCTTAATGAAAATTATCCAGGCCGCTGGATCGGTCGACAAGGACCTGTTGGGTGGCCGGCGCGTTCCCCAGATCTCACACCTCTAGACTATTTTTTATGGGGGACAATGAAACAAAGGGTGTACAGCAGTTCCATAAACAGCGTTAGCGGAAATTGAAGAAAGAGTTTTGCGTGTTGCAAACGAAATCAAAAATGATCCCGAGATGATTCGTAGGGCAACTCATCAAATTTCACTTCGCGTTACAATGTGTTTGCAGCAACGGGGTGGCCATTTTGAACATTTGATGCATTATGCCAAAATTATTATCCTATAGACAAGTCTATTTGATTTTATTTGTTAAAGATAATGAATGATTCATGTAGGTTAATACAGTTGTTTTATTCCTACTCTGAGTTCACTGCTTTTTGAAACGCTGATTTAAAAACTTGTATCTAAGTAATAAACTTGCAATTTTTCACCATTAGGAAGCTAATAACATGTAGAATAACTTAACATTTAAAAAAGGTAGGGTAAATAGGACAATTTTTATTGAAATTTAGCAGTTGTTTTAAAAATCATTGAAAAAATAGTGAGTTTCAGCATATTCCTCTTTATTTTAAATTTATAGCATTTAATTTCGTGGAAATTTTCACTTTACTGGTGCGGCCTATTATTTGCAATCACTACAAAATTTATTCCAATATGATAGGACATTCAGTTTAAAAGTTGTAACGATTTATTTAAATAGGGTTAGCAGCTGACTCAAAAAAATTTAAAATATTCATAAAAAATCAATTATATATATATATATATATATTGTTTGGCAAAAATTGAAACTCTGGGCTTTGAATACGCATGATGAATCAACGTTCTATTGGACGGCTATGACAACCCTTATCTGGTCATATAGTATAATTAATACTACTGGAGAAAAATAATTGTATGATTTTTTTTTAGATAATTGTGAACATTTTTCGTACATCCTGCTATTATTTGGTTGAGGAAAATTTCCTAAAAATAGATGAGATTCTTCATTCCACAAAATACCCTTATATTCGCAGAAGACTGGTGAACGTGCATTCGCTATTTTACACCTGAATAACTACAGTCTCAACTTTGTCGCCCTATCTGTTTTTTAATATTCAAATTACATTGATATTACACCGCCGAGGAATCGGTGTCCTTTTCTCAGCTGCTCAGGTGGATTCGTCGCGTGGGTGCGTGAGCGGGCAGCAGCTAGTACACTTTACAAACAAAATATTTTAATCTTTCGAAGTCTAAGGACAGATATACGGGGTAATGTATGTACGTGAAATATACCTAATAGGCGCGTAAAATTACAGCCGTTGAAAAATTAAAAATATGCTGCTGTCAAAATATTGCGATACACCTTTATTGCCCCACCCCCCATTTTTACGATCTACATTTTTTTCAAAAATGATCAGGATCCTCTAAAACGCCAAAAACAAGGTTATATTGATTTTTTTTTAAACAATCTTTCGAAGTATTCGGATTAGCGCTTTACAACGACGACGTATTGAAATATGTCAAAATAAAATAAAATAAAGTTCAACAGACGATGTAAGCCCTAGGAACTCATTAGGCATCTGCATTGCCAAAGTATTTCAACAATATAACAAAAGTGAAAAAAATAATTACCTATCTGTAGCTAGTGGCTGGTAGTAGACAGTGGCTAGCCTAGGTGAATGCGTTATTCCCACAACACCATCCATCAAAGTGAAAGTTTCGCCGTTAATATTGTAATCTGAATGATCAGGATCAGGAAACATTGTGGGGTGGCTCAACCTCCAAGCTTGATCTTTGAGTCCATCGTACACAACCAAACCTTAAACAAGATATATCAGTAATAATTAATCTAGCCTTAGGATATCAAAAAATAAACTTCGAATATTTAAGTTGTGTCCTCAAGATATGTATGTATTCGACATAACCGACATTGTTCTATGTTTTGATTGAACAGATTGTGTTCATAAGCATGTCATTTTTCTCATTATAAAAAGTTACTTTGCTGATCATATTAAGGTTTCACTAATCCAACTCTTTTTAATGAAAATTTTTAAAGAAATTGCATCATACTTTTTACCATCCGACTGTCTATTGCCTTTTGAACATCCTTATGCTCCGTTTTTAGATATTCTTCCGTATCGCTGGCAAAAACATTTTGTGCTAGGATCAACGTTTTTAAAATATCGCTTGCTTGTTTTATGATGTTTTATAACTTTTTGATCTCTTTACGGCATATTCAAAAAATCTTGGAGGTCAATATATTCCGAATTCAGGTAGTTACATCACTATTACTCATGAGATGTTAAATTTTTCACTCTAAAATTGATTTATCGATGCTAAATCAACCTATTTGTAGTCGGGGAGCCCAATAGGGGATTTTTACATTTGCTCGAGGGATACTTTGCATCCTGTTAAGTATCTCCACCGTATACAAGCTCCATATACAGGGGAGTACATCTAACGCAGCCGACCAGAATGGTATAAGATATCGATGGTAAAACGTGACAAATACTCGTGCGTGTGAGACGAGGGATCACAAACTTGCAAAAAAATATAACGGATGAAGATATTGACAGTCACTAACTTGTAGGATTTTAATACCGTTGCATTTGAAGGTTCCGAAAAAATTATATTTCTAATTTTAAGGGTACAGTTACGCCCCCTGTCGACTCTTTTGAAGCTGAAAGTAATTTGCAGCAAATTCTTTTGTTTTAAAATTTTTGAACCTGTGGCTCTATGTTGACTGATTGCCGAGATACCGCTGGCGTATTTCTTTTATTAATGATCCATCCAGTACAAGCCTACAGAATACGAGGGATGTCTTTTAAGTTTTGCATATAGAAACATAGTAGGCCGCGCGGATCGAACGTCAGTACTGAATCTTAATCTCACTCTTTAATAAACTTGCATTCAAAGTTTCACAGCAATACGTGTTCTCACTACAGTGAATTTTTAAGTGTCACCAAGTCATTAGAAAAATGGAACTCAACCGAGAACATTTTCGCGCCATAATTTATTACAACTTTCAGAGACAATTATCGCAACAAGAATGCCGAGTTACTGTCTTTTTTCGGCAACGAAGCGCCACATCAGTCGACAATTTTTGTTGGTATGGAGAACTCAAACGTGGACGGGTGTGTCTTAGCGACGATCCTAGGCTGGGTGCACCAAAAACGGCAGTCACCCAGGCAAACGTCCATGCTGTGCGCAAACTCATCATTGAAGATAGACATGTGTCATATCGCGAGATTGAGGCGTCCTTGAAGATCTCAAAGACCTCAATTCAAAAAAATTTACATGAAGAATTAGGAGTAAGTTTCTCGTTGGATACCCCACCTGTTGACTGAAGAGCAGAAAGCAGCCAGGGTTAATTGGTGTCAAAAAACGCTTGATCGTTCCAATTTCGGAAACTCAAAAAATGTGTACAGCATTGTTATTGGTGATGAATCGTCAATTTACTGTTATGAACCAGAAAATCGACGACAGTCGGCTGTTTGGGTGTTCCAAGGTGAAGAAACGCCAACAAAAGTCATCCGTTGATGGTCGCGACATTTGTGTCAAAAGCGGGTCATATTGCAACAATTCCTCTTAATGAGCAAAGAACTGTTACTGCGGGTTGGCATACCACCATTTGTTTGCCAAAAGTCATCACCGAGTTTAGAAAAATCAACCCCGAAAGAAGAATCATTCTCCACCAAGACAATGCAAGCTCGCACACAGCCCAAAACACAAGGCAGTATTTAACGGAAGAAAACGTGGAATTATTGGACCATTCTCCATATTGTCCCGATCTAAGTCCTAACGATTTATTTACTTTACCGAAAATTAAAAACAGACTGCGTGGTCAAAGGTTCCAGTCACCAGAAGAAGCAGTTGACGCATTCAAAAATGCCGTTTTGGATCTGCCAGCAAACGGGTGGAATAGGTGCTTCGGAAATTGGTTCGAGCGCATGCAGATGTGTATTAATTTTCGTGGAGAATACTTCGAAAAACAATAAAGTCATTCAAAACTACCTACCGTGTTGTTTCATTTCCATATGCAAAACTTAAAATACATGCCTCGTATCATGCCTCCAATTTCACTGACACAAGGGGCATATACAATGCACTGTTTTCGTTCAGTCAAATAGTCGAAGTAATTTCGCAGTTCTGAAAGAATCAAATTACCGGTTCAAAACTTCCCACTAAAGGACAAGTACTAGCGGCTGCTTTGTTCTACAATATCCGAGAAGGGAAATTAGGTGTTAATAAAAGCGCCAAACTTCTGTAAATCAACATTTCGGTTAATCACTGCTGGTGAGGAGCAAAAACAATTTTTATTACATTGAGTACAAGACCATAGGCAGGTATCTCCTGGCTGTAAAAAGGAAACTTTGAACAGAAAATTTAGAAAATAATGTTATTTTAATTATAGATATCTAAGAAATATAAGAAAGAAATAAAGCAGTTTTATTTGTCGAATTAGAATTAGGTTTTGAAATTCATACATGGTTTCGCTATTAACTTTTAAAGTCAAAGTTTGATCGAAAGTCAGCACCGTGTATCGTTCCTCGGTTGCAATAATATTTATTTCTTGAGTTGTTAGAGTCAAATGGAAAAAAATTAGAGGATATGCATATCTCAGTTTGAACAAAAATTTGTTTACCCTCGTAGATGATTAAATCTTCAAAACCCCATTTGCTCGACGCTCGAGTTACTTGGGCTATTGACTCCATTTTTAACTTACCTGGAGCAGCGGTATCGGTCATATAGATGAAAGCTGAATCGCACGTGCCTTGGACGGACTCATCTACGACCAAATTAGTGAGCAGTGAAGATGGCCTCAGCACTCCATTCGGAAATATCACTGTGCGAACAATTTGATCGGTGAGTGTATCAATGACCACCAACTTTGGTTGACAGATCCTTGTGAATTCATCCAACGAGTCCATCACTCCTGAGTCCAGAGCCTAAAAAGGTGATTTAAACAAACATTGTGGCTGTTACGAATGAGTAACTACAGGGTGCGTCATCTATTACTTTTTTCTATTTGAAAAGTCAACACGCTTTCTATGAGGTGAAATCGAATTTTTTTATTGATAAATGAAGGTTGGTTTATGCCATTTATGTATAAAAAATAGCATCAGTCATGTCACCACCACGGCTTCGTTTACAGGCCAACATCCGAACATCTATATTTTCAATGACTTTTCCCAGAATAATCTGGTCTATGGCGACAATTTCAGTCCGAATATTGCGCTTTGGGTCGTGAATTGTCCGGGCACCATTTGCATACACTTATCCTTACAAAAATCCCCAAAGAAAATAGTCAAAAGGTGTTAAATCGCGCGATCTCGGGGGCCAACTGACATCTGAATTTCGTGAAATTATGCGGTCTTGAAATTTCGTGTGCAATAAGACGATTGTTTGGCGGGATACGTGAGCCGTTGCTCCATCTTGATGAAACCAAAGATCGTGGACACCAATACGATCCAATTGTGGCCACAAAAAGTCTGTTAACATGCCGCGATAACGTTCCCCGTTGACGGTAATGGCCTTTACTTCGGCATCTTGAAAGAAGAATGGTCCAACGATGCCACCAGCCCATAATCCGCACCAAACAGTCACTTTTTCAGGATGGAGAGGTTGTTCATGATATTGGTCTGGATTTTCAGCCCGCCAGAATCTGCAATTTTGCTTATTTACGCACCCATTGAGATGAAAATGAGCCTCATCAGAAAAGAGCACTTTGGCCGAAAATCCGTCTTCTCTTTCCAGCATCCAATTAACAAAAACACGCCGCTGTTGATGGTCTGCCGGCTTCAATTCTTGTGTTAGTTGGATTTTGTATGGATGGAGTAAAATCTGGCGTAAAGTGGTCTCACTAATTCCCAATTGTTGCGAACAGTGCCTAGTCGAGGTGGTTGGATCTTCTCGCACACTTTCACTCACTGCGGCCATGTTTTCAAGAGTACGAGCTGAACGAGCATGTTGGTATGGTCTGGTAGGCTGAACCAGTTTCCCCAAAACGATTAACAATCCAACGAATTCAAGGCTCTGTAGGTCGTCCATGTCGGCCAAAACTAGTGCGAAGTTTGCGAAAAGTATTTTTTATATTTCGACCGTTCTCGTAATAAGTTTGGTTAACCAAAATGCGAATCCATGACTATAAATGGCATACCTTTGATAGTTCATTTATGCATACCACATGACTTTTGACTCACTTGGTAACACATAAGCTTATAGGTAAAAAAAAGTAATAGATGGCGCACCCAGTATTACCGTGACTTGGAGCTCGCTGTCAGTGAGTCTAAGATATTTCGATATGTAGTAAAGAACATGCTCACTAATTTTACGAAAAACGAATATGGATAGAATAGGGATCATTGTTATAGTGATAACAATATTTATTCGACAAAGTACAAAATTGTCTAAGCGTGGGCAAACAAATATGAAAAATCTCAATCAGAAGACATCGCCAATGTGTGGATTATATCTGACTATCTAACAAAAATTATATGTGATTAAAAAAAATATAGTTAATTCTAAAAAGTATCTATATAATTTTGCAGTTTTAGTTTCCTATATAATTATGTATAATCATTCGCTGCACAGTACAAACCCAGTCTTTTAATTTTCATCTTTTTTTTTAAGGTGTCTTTATTTAGTTTGGTACTACATTGTACAGGGTGGGGCAGAAAGTCCTCTCCGATGTGGAAGCCGTCTAGCTACGCCAATGGTGGGTTGGGGGGGGGGGGGTATATATCATTCGATGTGTCTATTCCTGCCATTTTTAGTATAAATCATGTGCCTTTCTCATGATCCCATGTGATTTGTTTCTTTGGGGCTACCTGAAGGAAAAAGTGTAACAACATCGCCCCCAAATTCTAGACACTCTCAGGGACACGATAGTCCAGGAAATTGCTGCCATTCCGCCTGACATGATCAGCTGAGTGATCGAAAATAATCGGGCGAGGCTCGCTCAGCATATCAACAATGGGGGCGCACACTTGAGTCATTACCAAAATACATTGACTCAAAATGGCATTATACAGGGTGCGGCAGAGAGGATGGACGGTTTTAAAAAAATCATAAAATAGTTAATTTTTACTCGAAAACAAATTTATTGATGGAATCAGGTTCACAAGGAAATAGCATTTGAAACAGTCAAGTGTGGAAAACCACATCAGGCATGTGGTGGCCGAAATCGTTGACGCAGTGCTGGCCGAAATCGTTGATGCAGTGCTGGAGGCGTTCTTGGAAGTTCGCGTAGACTCTCTCCAACATCGCTCTCTCAACTTGGGCGACTTCCACGCGAATTTCGCCCTTCAATTCGTCCAGAGTTCGGGGCTTGTTCGCGTATACTCTAGCATTGAGGTGTCCCCATAAGAAAAAATCGCATATGGATAAATCTGGGGACCGAGGAGGCCAATGAACATCGCCAAACCTGGAAATAAGGCGACCAGGGATGCTCGGGCTGTGTGGGCGGTCGCCCCATCCTGCTGGAACCACACACGTCGGATTGGAATACGTCGCCGTCGTAATTCAGGGAGAAAGAAGTTGGTGATCATGTCGATGTAGCGCTCTGAGTTCACCGTAACATCACGACCATTACCGTCTTCGAAGAAGTAAGGGCCAATGATGCAATTTACTTTTGGACTGTGCAGCGGTCTTTCGTGTAACTGTTGCGGATTTTCATTAGCCCAATAACGACAATTCTGCTGGTTAACCATACTGTTTAGGTGAAAGTGGGCTTCGTCACTCAAAAACAAAATGAGGTTCTCATCTTGATCGATCAGTGCTTCCATCTCACGTGCGAAGTTCATTCGTTGTGCATAATCTCCGGGCTGTAACTGTTGCACAATGACCAATTTGTAGGGATGAAAGCGGAGATCCATATGCAAAATTTGCCTTACCGAACGATCACTAAGGCGAAGTGCAGCAGCATGTTTCCGGGCAGATCGAGTCGGACTGCGAAGAAAGACCTGTCGAACGCGTTCAACATTTTCAGGAGTTCGAACTGTTCGCGGCGCTCCTCTTGGTCTTCTGTTGACAGTTTGTCACGCCTGCGAAGTGATTCAACCCAACGAAGGCTGGTGTTTCGAGAGGAAACAGGTCTATTCCGATGAATGTTGAAGTGGCGACGAAACTCACGCTGTACGACGATGACTGACTCATTATTTCGGACGAAACAATCATAGGCGAAAACACGGTGATCCATCGTCTAAGGCTCCATAACGACAACTGGTAAAATAATGCTAGGATCTCACGAGTCAAACGGCACCCTCCCCACCTCTCTCGTAGATGGAGGCGGAGAGTACTACCCATCCCAAAAACGTCCTCTCTGCCGCACCCTGTATATGCTTTTAAAAAAATAAAGCTGCCCATCCTGTATAATTTAGCTGCTAAACATTTAAATAATCTTTTCAATAATGTTTTGAAGTGTCTTTAGATACTAGATGATCCCAATCTTGTATCATTCTCGTGCTTATGGCTTGTATCAAGTATCGCTGTGTCCTGATATAAGTTGTTTGACGGATATCCCATAATCTGAAAAATCGCTTTTAAAACAGCTTTTTGTGCTATATCTAGGTTAGAAATATATATTTTGCAGGTGAAACCTCAACTAAGGTATGGTACAGTATTCGCAGATAATTCTCTGTAAGGATGTTTGCAAGCATTTTGAACTAGGAAACATTTTTGATTTTTTTGATAACATATTAAGATGGTTATCCCACCTTAAATATGAGTATATAAATACTCCATGATATTTTAAGCTGTTAACTCTATTGATTTTTGTTTTTTAGCCACGATAATTAACGAAAATTTGTTCAAAACTAGGTAAAAATTTTGAATAAGATGCAAATGCAATAAATTTTGTTCTGTTTGAAGTTAACTGTTGAAATTCTGCTATCAAACTAGTCAATGTACCCCCATTTTGTAGTAGGTAAAGGTTATGACTTTATATTCTAGGGTTATAATTCATATAATTTTTTTCCAAGATGGCGCACAGCGGCCATCTTGACATTTTCATCTGTCAATTTTGCTCTAAAATTTTTTAATTTTTTGAATTGAACCGTTGAAAAAATCAATGGGGAGGGGGACATTAAAGAAAAGCACTGTATATTTAAAAATGTACTGGTTGGGTTATGAGTCAAAATGGATGTGCTGGATACAGCACAAATAAGTGGTAATTTGCCACAAATTTAATATAAAATATAATTTCTATGATTTTGTGTTTACAACATGGCATAACATGATACCATATGCTGTAGTGGTAGCTGCTTAAATAAAAGTGGGACATATCCGTTCAGAAAAAAGTAAACGCACATGTACGGCAGATTAATTAATTAGTCAGGCCTATTCAAAAGAACTCGAATGGAATCGAATTTTATCTAGGTAGGTTCATTGATGTGTGATACGTAATCCTGTAAACTGAGAACCAAATTTTTATGACGGCTAGAATTTAAAGTACGTAAAGACGCACAAGTTGGAAAGAGATATGAGGCAGCTTGACAGCAAAGCTCATCACCGCGTTGCCTAGCAACGTTGGCGGGGCAATCTGCCGCGTTGCCAATATGTTACACCAGTTTCTTGAATCAAAATGCATATTGAAAATGTGCGTGAGTTCTTCTTTACACCCAAATAACGGTTTTACTTTGAGCGTACACATTTTTGAATTCTGAATTGTGTCGAATCTGTTTAGGATCGTCACAAGTTCTGTAACATTGCATCATTGGTTCGTGTGATAATACTGCATGTTGTACATTCCAAGGCAAAGTTTTCACCTACATGATGATGGTAGAGCGATTATGGTCAGTACCCATCTGGCGCTCGTAAAGGAGTGTCGTCCTACTTCGAAGTTGCTTAGAGTTGCGTACACACAGGTAACGTAACGTTATTTGTTACATTTGTCGAGCATAGCGCTGTCGCAAAATGTAATAATAACTCATGATGTGTTTATTTTTTC